AAAAAAAAAAAAAAAAAAAAAAAAAAAAAAAAAAAAAAAAAAAAAAAAAAAAGAAAAAAGAAAAACAAAACAAAAAAATAAAAAATAAATAAATAAAAAACCAGATCTAGTATCAGTTTATCATCTAAAGTTCAAATACAAATGGCTTTACATGCTCTCAACACACGCAATCTCTGGTTCGGTAAAACGAAGGCCAGTGTCAAAGAACACCAAAACTTATAATGGGAGTTCAGAATATCCTGTAAATACACGAGTTGAATTTAAAGGACAGAAAATTGGCAGCAAATAATTTCAAGAATCGACAACTAGGATTCTGATTCTGGACTGTGTTTGCCGTTAGCAAAAGGGGGTTGGCCGATCTCCTTCCTGGAGGCCTCCCACAGCTGCTGCTCGATTCCCATTTTCCTCAGCTCTGTTAAACCTCTTTCAACTGTTGCATGCACTCAGAAAAATTAAAACCCATAAATACACCAATAGCATGAGTTGCTCAAACTCATGATCAAATCTTAAACACGTGTGTAGAGAAAAACATGGCGCTCATTACTAACCGTAAAGATCAAATGCAACTATTCATTAAAAAAGAAAATGGTATTAAGAAAACTGAACATCCATGTCAAATGCCTTTCAGAACTCTGCAACCTCAGATAGTCAAATTTATATAGAATAACTCCGTTCATGTCAGTTCCGAAACCAAATAATTAATTTAAAAATAGAAGAATTTATATATGCACTGGAATTTTTCCCAAAATTGTGAGAAAAGAAGTAAACAATTTATATGCAATTTTTTCAGTTCTTGGTAAATAGTAATACTATTCCTCTTCATACATGTTCACTACGTTGACTTTCACAAGTTTTTTTTTTTTTTTTTCCTTTCATAAATCTAAACATAATGAAGAACGGAAGGCAAAAATAGGAAGTTGATTTTCCCAAGTCGACTAGGTCAAAGCCATCTCAGGAACGAAATGGTCCATACAGATGACCTGGCACGGGTTGCATCCCGGCCAGCTTTTGCCAAGTAGAACTGGTAGGGCCGGTTTTCAAAAAAGTATGAGGAAAACTTTTCATGTAAAGATGGGAGGAAGAAAACAAAAAAAAAAAAAGAAGAGAAACACAACTTTCACATTTATCTCTTCAATAATAGTATACCATTGAATTCCATGGTCTTAGTTTTAATGCCATTTTAATGATATTCAGTTATTCAAAAAAAAAAAAAAAGTCCAGCAAAACATTTTAGAAGCTGAGAAGCTGTAAACGTTTTCGATATGAAATTGCTTTATATTAAAGTTGAAAATAAATCAAAACAGAAGCGGATAAGAAGTAGTATGCCAGATACAGACACTATATAAGTATTCATCTGATGTAGCAGTTAATAGGGGAATAAGGGAGCCTTTGCAAGCATGTCTTGTGTCTTGGTGAATCGAATTATACGAGGGGTAAATGAGTGTTTAGAAAAGTGTGTATTGTGTAGCATAGCCGATGCTGACGCTTGGCGAAATGTGTTAAATGTTCCCTTTTTTTTTAACTAAGTTCCTAAAAAAAACATATACTAGCTCAGTAGCTTGTGAAATAATTATAAATAAATTTTATATCTAAAAAGTAACAAATATAAAGGAGGGAGGAAATATTTTCTTTCTTAAAAACAAAAAATAAAAGTTAAACTCTAAGGATGATTGGATATAAAAAAATTGGTTTTGTTTAGATTTTTTTTGTTTAGTTTGGTTAGTTTTAAAAAAATTGGTACGGTTGGTTGTTAGTGGATATATTAAAATAATATTTGAAGTGATAGTTAGTTAAAATTATGTGAGTAGATGAATAGTGAATTAAGGTGATGTGGTGTGTAAGAATGATTGATTTGATATTATTTAATTACATTGATAATATTGATGATAGTGGAATTGAGTTAAAATTGAGTTAAAAAAGTGGTTGAGTAAAAAATGTTTGGATTTTTTTGAGATAATTTTGTATCCAAGCATGCTCTAGATTTTCCTTTACCTAAATATATATCTTAAATTCATTGTAGTATATGATATTCAATTGAAATTAAATAATATTTCATGGGGAAGGTAAAATATTACAAGTTTTGATAAGAAAACTAAGTAACAACAATAAATTGAAACTCATCCTAAAATGAGTTTATTTCAAATGACTCTTCTATTAGTCGACTATTAGTAACATTATTTAATTGTTGTGCCTCATAAAATAGCATTTTCTACAAAAAAATTAAAAAAAAAATGAAAAGAATAAAGAGAAAATATGTAAAAACATACTAATTTTACTGCTAATAATTACTTTACATATTAATTTTACTGCTAATAATTACTAAGTATTTTTCATGAAATTTGTCAAATGAGAAAAAATAAATAAATAAATATATACCTTTAGTAAAGAATGAAGAGAAAAACATAGCTATTAAAACTATTTTTTATATAATTAATATATAGTAATAATTAATGATAGTGGGCCTGAATAAGTGGGGACCTGGGCGAGATATCTGGGCCCGCCCTATCCCAGGGCCGGCTATGCTATATAGTAAGAGCATCTCCAATGCTCAATGTTGTAGATGAAAATTACTTTCAATATTAACACATTTATTAATATCACAATTTTTCATCCTCCAATGTACAATGTGATCACAAATGTTGTGATGATGTGGACATAATTAATGTCCACAATGTAGAGAAGAATGTGGTTCATCCACATTCTATTCCACGTTCTAATTAGCCAATGAGAAGAAGAGAGAGAATTATTACTACCATTTTTAAACTATTTAATTATTTAATTTATTTTATTAATTCATATTAAAATTTTATTATTTGGCAAGTAGATATTATTGTAATTAGACAACTTTGTGCATTGGAGATGATTTTTTAATTTAATAGTTGTGAACTCAACATTTGTCCTACATGGTTCACAATCTATTTAATTTTTTGACATTTGTCAAAAATTTTTCAACAACAACATTAGAGCATTGGAGATGCTCTAATTATTGACCTTTGTTTCATGATATTATCAATCCAATTGAACCCTAAATATTGGATAGAAATGCATACATGAAAGATATGGATGTTTGCAGTCCCCAAAAAACATGTATTCAGGAAGACAGCTAACAAATTAAGTTTAAGAGGATAAGAATTTTAAAAGAATTTTGTTGTATAACAAAAATGGCAAAAGCAACTTTTCCAAATCAATCTTTTCCCTCTAAATGCCGAAAACTATTCAATTATGATAATGCAAAAAATGAAAAACTCCCTGCATCAAGATTCAACAAATAAGCATCTACTGTTATATATATATATATGAAGAATAAACCAATATATAAGGATAATTATTATTACCATCAACAGCATCATGTGAGGTTGGGGTTTGTCCACTGCGGCTTATCCATAACTGAAGTCGCTCTTCCGCAATATCCTCCTCAACACCATGCGCTACTGCTCTTCTCCAAAAATATGTAAGCCAAGCCTAAATAATATATCAAACTTTAGAGACAAACACACCCTGGTTAACATCATTACATTGCAAGTTCAAGAAACTGGCCTGCAGCAAAACTATAAAACGGTACATCTGTCATATAAATCTTCCTCAAGTTCACATCACACGGTTACGTTAAAGTTTAAAGGACAGCAAACAAGCTTAAGTTAGGCACAAAAAATTATTTTTACATCTATGCTAGGGAAAATAACAATGGCAATTTTTCATAACCGACTCCATCTAGTAACGACTGATCCAAAATAAGATATGAAGAGTATGACTTAGGTGTTCTATGAAGGTTTACGAGGCACAATCTCATTAACTTGCACATCATATCTTTTTCAAAATCAACAGCTACTTTTTTCCACCTCACTTATGTCACTCTTTATGCCAAACAAGCATTTTTCATATAATTTTGCTCCAACCATCAGTGTTTCTCCTTTAGATACCTATTGCTCTCGAGATAAGAATAAAAGTATTGAGGATTAGCACCTGCCATACCCTAAAATGATGTTATTTTTACGTCCTTTGTACAAGTTCCAAGTAACTTTAGACCATTGACTTCAATTCAGAAAGGTATAAGAGAACTTAGTTTAGGGGAGACAAATTGTTTATTGAATAAGCCCTAAAAAATTAAGCTTCTTCCCAAATCATTCATACCCACAGAAATCATCATTTATTTAAGTATTGCTGCAGGTAACCGAGGGGCCAAACAGAGGGTCATTTCATCACTATCAACTCTGATTGTGAACAGTACAGAAATCATCATTTATTTAATTATTGCTATAGGTAACCCAGGGGTCAACAGAGAGTCATTTCATCATTATCAACTCTGATGGCAAGTGGTGGCGACAAAGCTTCCCTCCACAAGCATAAATGCACTAAGAAAACAAGATGCAACTGAAATTTCCAACGTCACAATGTCACATTTTCTTCTTACTGATAGCTGGTAAAAAAATCCCAATTCCGATATATACCAGCTTCAGATTATTTGTACAGGTAAGATAGCAAATACATTTTGTACCTACGTAAACAAAACAAATATTGTATCGAAATGTCTCTCTTAAGAATATTTGTGAACAAGCACACGTGAAAAGGAGAAGACAAGAAAGAAAAAATAAAAGAGGAAAGAGAGACGAGATTAAACAACTAGAAACTGACCTCCTTAAAAAGAACATCTTCAGACTCCTCTTGACTCAATTCTGCAACCAAATATATAAATTTGAACCTTTTATATAATGTTTTAAAACTAGCGTTGATAGTAAATCTTTACCATATAGCCAAAAACACTTTTCCAGAATTGATGTAAAAGAGCAAATTACTTATATGCGCATACATGCAAATTTTAGTTCACCACATGATTCAATAATAACTACAAAGCAGCAGAAAGATTAGATGGCAGTCACTGATTGATAATTTACTTGTCTGGGCATCACCGTTCATTCAACAAAACTCAACGTTCAATGTAAAGTTAAAACAAACTAGCATCATACTAATTTCATAATTTTGAGAGCGAACAATCAATCATTATTTATCCGGAACAGCACAGTCAATATATTAATATTAGAATTCTTTATCTCTTTAAGAACTGGACAAAATGAGCAATTTCCTCACCAACTGCATCCGTGTACTTTGGTTCACCAGATGATTTCGGATCTGCAGTAACAGACCACATAGAGTTTTATTAGTTGTTACGCTAATTATTGTTTTTAAACAAAAAAAAGGTAACAGTAGACATTTAATACACAATATGTGTGTGGTTGTGTGTGTTGTGTGTGTCACTAAAGAAAAAGAAAGTCACAAAAACTTCTATGCAGACTACATGCAAACTAAGTATATCATGCATTACAAGGCGGAAGAATGAGTTGAAATGAATATGAATGCGTGTCTAGACAGGAAAATAAGAGACAATAATGCTTTTGGAACAAATTTGACTTGTGTTCTTCAGATGTCAACTTACTGAAAATGTAATAAAACAACTCTTCAACAGTAAGTTAGTGCTCACTGCTCACTAACCGTAGATTGATATTGACTTTGTGGACCATACCTGTAAAGGATTGGCGAACTAAAGTTGAACGTCGACTTTGGGCTAATACGAACACAACAGCATCCTCAACCTTGATATATGATAAATGACCGACAAACAGAACCAATATCAGATTTGTATTCTTAAAATATATGGCAATACTTACTACACTTACATTGGATTCTACATCGGTGTGGTTACAATTTACAGAAAACGGCAGAACTCAATAGACTAGAAGTCAACACTCATACGATTCAAAAGTTTTAATATTGAGAACCTTCAAGGCAGCCAGTTCCCTCAAACCCATCTCCACTGAAAGCATACTCTCAATATTTCCTTCCCCAGACAAATCATTCAAATCCCGCGCAGGTTGGCTCCGATCTGAGTAATTTCCACCTGCTCGTTGACAGCAAAAAAGAATAAAAGCTTGTCAGGTTATGGATGACTAGAACACGTTGATGAATAATTCAAATATAACCACTTTTGTCATTTAAGAGATCGGTACCATGCCAAGATTTCTCTTTGGCCTTCTGACCAGCAGAGATAACCACCTCAAAGGGAAGAGGAGCTAAAGATGACCAGTATTCATACTTGGAAACTGCTATATCTGCACATATACCTGTGAGACAAGAAGTAATGAACCTCGAGAAAAATGGTATTACAGATTAAAAATCAATAGAGAAACGTAATTAAAATTATAAAAACAAGTATCTTGATTTCAATAAAATGCTGTACATCATCCAATCTTAAACATGAGTTGAAACTGTGAAGCATATCTTAGCATGTTTTCATGCCTGAAGCAAGGCAGGATAACATATTTGCATCAAATATTCTTCCAGGAAGATTTTACCATATCGCGCAGCTAAACCCCAAACATCAATATAGAAACGTAATTATATTTATAAAAACACGTATCTTGGTTGCAATCAAAATGCTATATATCATTAAATCTTAAAACATGATGTGAAATTGTGAAGCATATCTTAACATCTTTTCATGCCTCAAGCAAGGCAGGATAACATATTTGCATCAGATATTCTTTCAGCATGATTTTACCATATCGCGCAGCTAAACCCCAATAGCGAGCAAGCCAGCATCTCTTCAGAACAACTTCTTCCTATATAAGAACAACACACAATTTCATAAATTGGGTTCCTGTAATGTTGAGAGTGTATCATAATTTTTAAAACGTAACCATCTCTTCATGCGTCAAAATCATCCTCTGGGTCATTGCTCGAAGAGTTTTTGCTTCAGATTCAGCCTCATTAAGCTGTTCCATAGCACTTGCAGTCTCATCTTTTTGGTTCTGACCAAATATTTTCAACGAGCTTCATCAGTACTAATAACTACTAAGAGATATATAATGATTTAGACAAAAACAAGGTGCAATTAAGAAACGTAAGACAACCTCAAGTTCTGCGCGAAGAGCTGCAAGTTCTTCATCTCGTCCATCCTTTGTCTGTGCTGCAGCTTTAATAGCCGCCTGCAGTGTGAAAATTAATGCATAACAGAGGGATTCAGTTCAGCAACCTGCATAGACTTGAATCCAAGGACGTATACAAATGCACACAATAACAAATAAAGCAATACATGGGTTAATAACACAAATTTTTACGCGTGGTTGAAGAAATGGATACCTCTCTTTGTCGCAGAGCTGCTTCCTTCCTGAAATTAATTAACATCATACACAATGTGACATACTTTACTATAAACCAGCCACCACGAATAAGGATTGAGAGAATCAGGAGAGTTAAAAACTGAAAGAGCCGACAGGGAGGAATGATAGTTGAGAGTTTCAAAGGAGGCCACTGAAAATCGGGACACGAATGAATTCGGAATCGGTGAAAAAAAAAATGTAGGGTTTAAGGATAATTTAAATTTTTAAATTTAACATAAGCAAAATAGGGTAAACTGCTGTATTTAATCATGGTTCTTGCAGACTAAAAATCTTGGCCGTTTATCAGGACATAAGTTGTAACTTAATTTTTAAATAGATAGTGAATCTGCCAGCTTAAACCTGTAGTCAACCATTGTTGGGCCCCTCAGGACAAGCAGGAAAAAAAGGAAACCATGATCAGTTGCTTAATGCAACGTGGAATGGTCTAGCATTCTAATCAATTTAGCAATGCAGACTTACCGGCTCAATAATTTAGCTTCCAATGATACACCTTCCCCTAGCGAAGCAACCTGAAAAAAGTTGATTCAAACAGTATCACTGGAAAATGGACCAGCACGGATTCTCAATAAAAGGTGGCAGAAGTTCCTATCTGAAGGTCAATAGTAGAACAAGGTAGTTCGCAACGAAACTACGAAATTCAATTTCTAAAGGTATAATTATTCATATGTCAGGGCTGTGCAGTACGTATACAGAAAGTAGAATGAATAACATTAACAAAATGTATATAATCCAAACGACGCATAATTTAAGAAGTCATGCAGCTCCTGAAGCAACCAACATGTTACTAACCAATTAATGATCAAAATGAAAGACACAAAATTCAAACTGATGAACTGATTTTCTTAGCTCTAAGCTTCTAACCTGTTTCTCCAACTCCCGGGCTCTGGCTTCTGCTTCTTCACGTTTTTCTTCTGCACGACGAAGCTGTGGGAAAAATTAATTCTACTTCCCACAAAAGAGAAATCAAAAGCAGATTTTCTTGCATTTACCTGTTCACATCTGGTTTATCTTTTAAGTCTGCATAGAAGTAAGCAAGAAACTCACCTTATCTAAAATTGCTTCATTCTCTTCTTGTAGCATATCAAGCTGCAAATGTGGTGAAAGTCAAATGATCCTGAGTATACATGGATTCTCTAACTTCTAACAACTATGATTGTCAAATACACTATAAATGTAACAAAAGAACCGAGCTGAGAAGCTTAAAATGTGGAAAGATCTAGTTGCAGTATCAAATAAATTAACTTAGAAATGCAGAAGCATGGTTGGAAGCTTACTTCATCACGAAGTGCAGAAGCCTCATGCTGTTTTGCGGAATCATTCAAGTCACGCCCAACATCAGGTACAAACCTGCATATTTGACGCCAACTAACGACTCAAAGACCTGTTGATATACGATTGCATGCAAACTGATGATCTGCCCCTTGTCAAACCAAAACTACTCTAAACATGCAAGGGAATCAACTGGCACAAACTTTATCTAGAGAAAATATCAGGTAGCCATATCATAATTGTCTTGGCGCATGCTGGCTAATCTCTTCCCCTCTTAAGGGTAGAATTATCCGTAATTAATTGAGGTAGCAGTTTATTTTATTAATAAAGATCATAGAAAAACTTCATCTGATATCAGATCTAAATACAGGTAGGTTCCTTTAAATTCCAATTTTACATACATCGTGACCCGGAGAAAATTACAAAAATGCAAAATAAATAAAATACAATGGCCTCTTTCTTAAAAGTTAAACAAAACTCTCTTGATGTGAATAAAAATGATGAGTCTTGAGTTCAATAAAATTATGGCAAATCTCCTGTGGTTTGTGATATCATAGTTACAAAATCCTAATATGGATCTTTCTTTCCTTTTTTTCAATTTTCACTAAAAACATAAAATAAGAGTAAATAAAATACATAATTCAAGACATTTCTAACAGTGCACAACAAAGTCAAATATACAAGTTCAAATTCCAATCTTATCACATCATATCTAGATACCGATGTTTGTGAGTTACCCAAATCAATGGAGAAGGAAATATTTCAAGATGCTTTTAAGAATAGGAAAAGCTCATGTTCAGCATTAAAAGCTCATCTGGGGGATTGTCTGCTCTCCTCACTTAAAACATCATATTTGCCATCAGGAACCAAAAAATCATGTGCAGTTCCAAGAGTAGAATTCTTTGACATAACTAACAGATAGATTGGTCATATAATGATGGATACATCTAAAGGTAACCAATAATTTTATAAATAAAAGGTAGGTAGATTGCTTCAGTATCACAAAATGTAAAAATATGCATTTAACGTATAACTACTAAAAAATTTTCTAGAGTGAGCAGCCACTTAAAATAACTACATAATAGAATTGCACATTCATATCTAGAAGTTAATTATGATAATTAGAAGTTTGTGGAAACCGGACAATAGAAGTAGTTTTATCCAAGAAATAAATCAAAATCATGCGAACCATGGGACGGCAAACAAAAAGGTAAATAGTAAATATCAACGATTCCTACACATATTATAGTTCATCACAACCATAATCCCCTCCTATACATAAAGTCATTGTTTTCCGAGCCTACGTGTCATCTTTTGGTGCTTCGTAATCCTATGTGACGCCTGATGATGCTTTGGTATCCACTTAGATTATAAATATGTTTCAAAAGGTAACTCTTTTGTTTGTTATTCTTTTTTAAACATGATCTATCAAATTAATCATCTTTTAAAAATATTTGATTAGACATCCACATTGCCTATAAAAAATAAATAAATAAATAAAAAATAAAAGTTAATTTATTTTTCAGTTATAATTGGATATTAATAAAATTATTCCTCGTCATTTGGTTAAAATATGAAATAAAAGGGTATCCAACAAGTACACATTTAATAATGCTTCAACTTCTTGTACATATCCTCAATTTCCTTTTATTAACATGTAGCAATTTCACAAAAAGTCATCTAATGAAATCTGACATGTCTAATAGTGCCTACGAAGTTAAAAAGGATTTTAAAATGATACACAATGCAATGAATAGTGGCATTTGATAATCATCTGATTTTGGCTATCATCAACAATAAGTTCAAAATAATTTTATAGTAAAAGGGAAAATAAAGCAGCATTTTGAAATTACATCGTACCTCTTCTCTCTTAATCTGCTACTCGGAGGTTCAATTGGTGGAATGGTAACTGGAGTTTTCAAAGAGGATTTACTTGGTGGTGCGACTGTATTTGTTCCAGTACGAACAGACATTGAAGGTCTTCCAGCTGATGTTGAACGAACTGGAGGAGCAACATCCATAAAGTTGCGACCTAACTGCAGACAACACCATCCAATTTCCATTATATTTTAAGCCAGAGCGAGAAAAGTCTTGATTTAATAACCCAACTCTTATTTACAAAACTCAACAATGACAACATTTTTCGTCCCATAAATTATTTCTCAGTCAGAAGTGAGAACTGCAAATTTTGCCTGACCAATACAAATAGTCTCTCAACCAAGTCTACTCCATTAAAGAGCGCTGGCACCACCAATCAAAGTAAGCCCCAAGTGAACCATTTTTGTAACTTTTGATTAATCTTGATAATATATAAAGGTTCAGGGTCCTCCCAAATCTCTAGCCAGCTTCAGTAATGACTATACACTCAAGTGAACAAAATGTATGTAAGGAAAACCGCTGTTTTATATCAATCAGGCAATCCAGATCTAAAACTACTCTTTCATTTCGAAATGTTAAACAATTTTCTCTTACATCAGTGGAAAAGGGGAGCAAGTCAGTCTTAAGCTAACACCTATTTACACCAATCTAAATTGGATCATCCTACATTGTTGTGAACTCTACTGCAACTCTACTGCAGATACAGAAGAAATGCTTTAACCGTCTCAAATGAAATAACACAAACTAGAACTGAAGTTTTCTCTCGCACATTACTCTTTAAACACGGAGTAGTCCACAAGAATCAATTTCAAGTCAAACTCATCAGCTGAAAAATGAGAGATCAAGCATTACCGCAGGTGATGGCGATCTATTCGGCTTAGAGAACGCGATCCCAGAGAGACCACCACTGTCGCTCCTATTAATATTACTGTTGCTCGAGAGTGAAGGAGGAGGCCCGAACCGGAACCCTAGATCATCGTCCTCGTCCTCTTCGTCATCGTTGGGGGTCTTGGACGCCATGACCAGCGCCAGCCGCTGGGCCGCAGCTTTAGCCGCCACGTTCTGAGTCCTCTTGATGGTCGACATGCCGGCGGCGGCCGGAGGAAGCCTGGAACGAGGATGCGCCGGCGAACCGGCCGGAGATGAGCCGCTGCTTGATCCGCTCCGCTGGCGGGCGTACACCGGGCTTTCGGTCCTTCTGCGATTCATGAAAGTCGACTACTTTTTTTTTTATTTATATATTTGTTTATTTACTTAAAAAAAAAAAATACTGTAGCTATATATGTGTGTGTGTGTGTGTGTGTGTGTGTGTGGAGATTTTTGCAAGACTTTAGAGGCAGATTTTGATGGGGTTGGGAGTCTCCGTTGACGGCGGAGGAGGAGAGGAAATTGGGAAGAAAATGGGCTGATCTTGTTTCAGAGATCCTCCATTTTTTCAGTGTTGTGGAGTTTTCAGTGGAGTCCGTTATGACTCATCAGAAGATGTGCTGTAAATGGTGATGTATCCGATGGATTTTATGGTGTTGTAAGAGTATGTATGTGGTTAGCATCAACACGTCGTTGTAGTATAGTGGTGAGTATTCCCGCCTGTCACGCGGGTGACCCGGGTTCGATCCCCGGCAACGGCGTTTATCATTTTTGTTTTTGGCCTTTTAAGGTTTTTTTCCCTAAATTTTTCGAATCCTGCGACTGCGAGGGAACTACTTTTCAGCTTTTTCTTTTTTTTTTGAGTTTTTTTTTTTTTTTTGGTTGAATTACAACTAAAATACTATTTCTCATTTATCACCTACTAATATTCGCATGTGCACATAAATAAATTCAATAAACTTTTATCTGTTAGGTGTAACTAGTACGAATCATGTGTGATGCACGACTAAGATATATTTACTAATATTTATAAATTATAATTTATTATTAAATAATATTTATATATTAAAAATATGGAATCTAAATGTGACACAATTTGTCTATATTAATTTATTGAAATTGTTATATAAAATTTGAATAAAAATGTCTATTTAAAATTAGTACACAACTCGTGCAGTGCACATAACTGATAAAAACTAACATTATAATCGTTTCCAAATAAGGGTCATTTTAAATATTATTCATACATTCGATTTGACTATAATTAGTACGAATCTCGTGCGATGCACGGGTAAGAAATATTCATTAATTCATTATAAATTAAAAATGTTCATTAAATAATATTTATAAATTAAAAATAATACAATTTACCTATATTAATTTATTAAAAATGTTATATATAAATTTAAATTGTGCAAAATTACATAAAATATGTCTATATGAAAAAAATAAAATATTAAAAAAATGAAAAAACGAATTCAAAATAAATTATTTATTCTCACCTCCTCATCATGAAATATAATTCCAAGTAATTTTTGTATACGATAGTAATTTAATTTTCAATTATACCATTGCTCGCAACTTGATATGTAGTTTCTTGGTTTTGGTGACTTTCTTGATGAGACTAAATTCACATTTCATCTTGATTTGAATAAATAATAAATTCAGATACTTGAATATAAAAATGAAATCAAACGAAAGATAACTACAAATGATCGAAAAATGACTGAATTTATAAAAGAAGAACAAAGTATAATTTAGTTAAATAACATAAATATTTGATAGGAAAAATATATAAAAGCTGCAATAAATCAATTTGAAGATTGTACAAATTTTTTAGTACACGATTTGTGCAATGTAAAATTTTACTTTCTTTAACACGTCATTTTTGTACTGTAAAAAATTTACTTTGTTTGGCAATTATATTTTTAGTTAATTTTTTAATCAAATTATCATTTAATTTATGTACGATATAATTTTTTTTTGATTTGGACGGAATTCTATGGGAATATTACTTGTTGATCACTTATGGTATGGGTTGATTGATTGTTATGGTACCATTGAGTATCTCACTTTTCTTTTTGTTACGGTTGTTAAGTTGTGTGAATGATATTACATGTGTAATATAAATAGATTGATAGATTTACATAAATATATGTACCAAATAATTTGATATTTCCACGCACATTTAGTATCGACCATCGTATTCTCCAGATTTTTTCTTCCATTAATATCGAGTGAAATGCTTATCATCATGAAAAAAAAAAAAGATTCTATTTTTTACCATAAGTGGGTATATTGGGTCTATATATAGTATACCAAATAATTCAACTACTAAATCTATAAAATACAAAAAAAAAATGATATCCAGTTTTAACACGAAATCAATTGTCCATCGTACAAAACAAAATCGAGACCCACATTTTTTATAGATAAAAACAAATAAATAAGACCTATAAAATAATTATTAAAAAATAATTAAATAAAAAACTACCATTATTTTTTTTTTTCCGAAACGATAGAGGTATTATATCTTAAATCGCACAAAAGTGCAAAAGTACCACCACCAATTAATATAAACATCTAACATGTTAATACAAACAGCCAATAGCTGAACAAACTGAGAGGACAGGTCAAAAGACCATCTAGAACCGACCCCAACAGGGTAGTGCTACCTAACACCACTAACCGAACAGAGGGGTAGGTGGTACGGTTCTTCAACCCCTTCTGCCTCAACATGAGATGTGCAGCAGTTGGGGGCCTCGCCCCATCCTCAGATTCATAAACCACTGAGCACCACCGCAGAACTCCGGCGACTAACAATCAAGCACCCACCGGAAGCCCCTGCCGGAGAAAACAAAAACGATCAACGGGAACTCCAATCGCCGTCAAAAGCAGAGAAAGAGAGGGGCTTACCACCGCCAATCGAGGGTCCATCGGCGGCCGGGAGGAAACCACCCATCTCCGACTGGACTCCGACCAAGGGGAAAACACCTCGAAACTCCAATTTGTTACCGATTGAAGGGCAGCGACGCAGCGGAACCGCAGAAAAATCGGAGCGCACGACATCCAGGACGGGACGAGTGGTCAGGGGTGACCGCTGGCCAGGCTCTGCCGTCACCGAGGACGGCGAATCGACAAAAAATCGCAGAGGAGTGGCGATTAGGTTTTTTGTCGCAGAGAGGAAGGGGAGAAAACAAAAGTTAAGGCGTAAGAATTGGACAGAAAATTACATTTATTTTGGAACGATTATTTAAAAAAATTATAGTTGAATGAATCAACCAAATTTACATGATATGCTTAATTAGGTTATCTTAAAAATGTAGATTTTTATGGTCTAATTATTTTCTTAACTATCCACGATTTGAGTAATTATATACACAAAAAATAAACAACAATACTTGTTGTAAGTATTTTTACCGGAGTAGAATCAAGAGATTCGTCCCCCGGGTCGTATCACAAGGAAGGTCAGCCGGAATAAATTGCACGACTATTCGAACACACGAAAGTAGAAACAAGTCCTAAACACTCTAATTCGATTGGTTTGGTTTGATTTTATAAACTACGAATAACAAGAACAAGACTAGCAATTTCAAATTCACAATTTAAAGTTTAAATTCGAATAATGATAAAAGGGCTAGGGTATCGGGGATATCGTTTCCGGTTCTTAAAACAATTTACGATCAATCAATTACTCGACTAAGGGACTCAAAAATTAACTCATCTAGAGGTTCATTCTCAATATCTCACGAAACAAGAGAATAAACGTAAACAAATCAATAACGAATCAATTAGCACATAGACAATACGTTACCGAACAAGTCTATTCTTAACGAGCCTAGGTCAAACGATTTCTCCCCTTTTGTTTTCAAAATCAATTAATTAGATTAAGATGGTGATCAAACATCTAAACCCTAGGTTAAGCACAACTCGAAAAGATTGAGCAATTAATCATTCATATAAACAAAATCGAACCGGAACGATAATCCCCTAACCCTAGCTAATGAATTTAGCCACTCATCGCAACCTCAACACAAACATTCACAATAAGATAAACCATCACATTCATTCACAAAATAAAAATGAGAGCTTATGATTATTACCAAATCCAATGTCGAGAAAAACGACGAACAACCGAAATCCGAGCCAGAAATTGGAGTTTTTATGCTCCAAAATCAAATCCAAGATGCCCCAATAAGAGAAAGATGTATTCTAAGGTGAAAAAGATGGAAAAACGAGTCTGAATGCCCAGCAAATAACGCCCTAATCGATCTAATACACTTTCTATTTTTGAATTCCATGAAAATCGCACCAGTCATAAAGCAGACCTTAGCGGCGCTAAGGTCTTAGCGCCGCTAAGGCATCTAAGTTGCCAATCTCTGTCCGTGGCATTGCCCCAAAGCGCCGCTTTCCACAGGGCCTTAGCGGCGCTAAGGTCCTGTTGTCCAAAGATTTGCCCCTTTTTCTACAGCTCGCGTGCTTGGGTCCCGTAAAATGCTGCTCGAACCATCCACTTCTCCTCATGTTTGAATACTTGCCAACCCGATCAACCTAAGACCTGAAATTGCACCACCAGAAAAACACGAAAAACAGAGAAAATAGGAAAGAAAACACAGAAAAATCTTGAACACACCAAAATAAAGATAAAACAAAAGAAACGACAAAAGAGGCCGGAAATACCTAAGAAAAGGCCTAAAACGGGGGAAACGACACACAAAACGAAAATAGTAACAAAAACGGGACAAACAACTCCCCCACACTAAGACCTTTGTTCGTCCCGAACAAAGAAAAGAAAAGAAAACAAAAGAAAGCAAATAAACGAGCAAGGACAACGGTTCAAGCAAGACTAATCTCAAACCAATCAATCAAGTCACGAAGAATTCAAATGATCACAAGAACACACATCAACCATGAACTCAGTTATTTAGAATGACAAAGACTCTCGAGAACGAAGATATATCATATGCCTCACTCAGTTTCTTTCGTAAATATAAAAGAGGTGCACTCAAGTTGGTTATCAATCAATCATTCATAGATTTTCCAATCGTCTAACTTCTACTCTAAAACAATCGAAAACGTGAAACGATGAATCAAGAGGACATCTCGGGTTGTAATGTAGGCTCTTTGGATCGGTAGGATACATATAGGCTAAGTGGCTAAATAAAAACAACTTCAACTCAATTCCATCACCCATCGTGATAGTGAACACCTCCGGTTGTCAATCACCAACCGGTTCCTTCCTACGAACTCCAAAATCAACTACTTCCCAAGCAATTCCTTTTATTATTTTTTTATTTTTTTTTTATTTATTTTTTTTATTGTATGAAAAACCTTTTGGATAT